TTTCCGTTGAACTGTTTGGGCTCATGGACCTTGGTCCAGAGAGCAGAAGATGGTGGAGGAGGTGGGCATCTGGTGTGACGAGCCAAACTGGCGATGGCTTGGGCTAGCTGTGTGATAGCTATGTTGGGGATGGGCTTGGCATTGTCAGTGGCTGGGACAGCAGGGATGGGAGGATCAGCAGGAGGAGGGTCGACAAAGTTGGGGACCTCAGAGCCAAGTCCAAAGAAGTGGACTGGATCTATGGGCTGTTCTGTGGCATCTCCGAAGTCAGAATCTGCAACTGGTGATCGATCTCTAACAGGATGCATGATCAGAGTCGATGGGAGAGGAGTTTCTAAATTAGAGAAGCTGCAAAACTCAACTGGGTTTCTCGCCAGACAACTAGGACCAGGCTGCAAGGGTTTGGGAGATGGTGAGGTGGAGTTAGGAACCAATGTGCATAGTTGTGAACGAGTGTGAGGGGCTTTGGGTGCCATACAAGATGTGTACTTGTCTGGGAGTGATAAAATACTGTTAGAGACCAGATGCGAGACGAAGGAATTGTCTCCATGGTGGAGGGCTTCAGCCTCAGCGACTCAGACCAGGAGTGCTGTGCCAAGTTACATGTCCATGCCCTAATTTACTTACTGGCAGTGAGAACTAAAAGGGGGATCAACTCTAGTCAATTTTATCATTGAGGTGCAACCTATCTACAAGTTATGTATATATATAGTTACAGCGAGGGCAGGCCCATGAATGGCAGGGCTGAGCAGAGCGGAGCTAATGGAGTTAAACATCAGCTGACTGAATATTACTGACAAGTCAGGTTATGGGGTTAGCAGGATGGCGGGCTATAACCCATAAATGGAATGGAGGGATAGGCCCAAAGGTAGACTTGCAGGGCAAGCAAGTGAATTGCCCAGTGGGGGCAGGAGTACGCTAGTGGACGTTGGAGCTGTCTGGAGGCCTTTGGGGCTCCATACTTAGGGAGGCATAGGTAATATATTGAATTGAGGGGGTGGTGACCATCGAGGGAGTCGGAGGTGATTGTGGAATACAGGGGCTCCGAGGTTAGTGAAGAAGGAGCAGAGGTAGTCCAGAAGGATCAAAGGTAGTGGAGGATGATGGCCATAGAAGGATATGACAGTCAACCACTTCCAGGACTTTGGAAGCAGGGCCAGAATGGGCTGAGGGTTGCTAGTGACTTACCTGAAGCCCTAGCAGAGGGTGCAAACAACTACAGATGGAAAAAGCCTGTCAGATGCCAAGTGCTCAAAGTTGGAACTAGACAACAAAGCAACAGGGAGTCTGAAATACTGTTATAGAGTGCATAATTGTCCAGAAGCGGAGAAGGGACTCAGTAAGGAGGGACCTTGGCCTCAGCAACTCAAGTAGAATGTGTGCTGTGTGTGTAAGGAGTGGTAACCCCACCCTTACTTTCTATCTTTATTCTATATGTGTCTCATAATAAACATGTATAAACAATGTATATACAATAATGTGGGAATTTTGAGGAGAACTGGGGTTGGAACCTGCACCAACCCCTTACAGTGTGTCAGGGGACAACTCCTGGGTCCCCATGACCCTCCCCTATGGTCCACAGCCCTGTGGTGTAACCAGCCCTATCCAGGGCACAACCTACTGTGGGTAAGAAGATGAGAAGGAAGCTAACTTCCCATCTTCCCACAGTGGCCACAATATCAGCAAAACTTCTGGGGATACCCAGAAGTCACATGAAGGGGTAGGAACCGGGCCCGGAGCATGCGGGCGCTGTAATGGGTCTATCACCACTAGACTTGAGACAGAAGAGAGGGGGAGGGTTGGAGTGGTTGCATGCACAGGTTCGTTAACTTGGAGTGAATTCTGCTACTCCTCACTGTCTGGCTAACTATACAGCTGGTCACAGTATCACGGAAGAGTCTGGTAATGACAAATAAGGAAAGAACAATAAGAAAGGGAAACATCAGGTGGAAATGGAGTCAGAAAAATCAGGAAAAATAAGAAATGTGTAGGAGGGAACATTGGCTAAGGGTGGTAGAATCGCGGGATTTGGCTTGTTTATGGTACACCAGCAAATCCCCGTTACAGTGTGTGGAGCATGTGTGCATGTGGGAAGCACAGTGGGTGGAAGTGGGTCTGGATGCAGGTCCAGGTCCAGGCTAGTCAGGGTGTGTGCCCTGACACTGTGCCACTGGTTTGTTGTCTAAGGTGGTCCTTAATTTCAGGTTAGCAAGGGGGAGTCTCTTGGGGGGACAATCCAGTCAATTCTGGTTCTCTAGTTGTCATCAATTTCAAACTAGGGGTATGTCAGGGCATACACCCTGACCTAGCCCATACCCGCATCCACACCTGCACTCGCACCTGCACCCGCACCCACACCTGGCTGTTGCACTTCCCATGCATGCCCTGTGTCGGATGCTCCATGCAGCTGGATGCCCCAGGCCCTGGGTCTTGGGTCTCATGTGACTTCTGGGTATCCCCAGAAGTTTTCAATATTGTGGCCACTGTGGGAAGATGAGAAGTTAACTTCCTTCTCATCTCTGACCCACAGTAGGATTGTGCCCTGGATAGGGCTGGCTAGACCTGAGGCTGTGGGCCATAGGGGAGGGTCATGGGGACCCGGGAGTTGTCCCCTGACAGGGTACAGGCAACTATGTACAGAGTGTATATATAATAATACAGGAGTGGAGTCAGAGGACAAATAGAACCCAAAGGGAGCAAAGGGAACTGGAAGGAGACAAAGGGGGACTGGATGAGGGAACAACCCCAAGGGTCAAGGATTGGAGCTCTATGGTGCTTCCCAAAAGGGCAAGGCCAAGAGGGGAAGGAGTGCAAATCGCTGGAAGGGGTGTGCTGACACCACCCTGCTTCTCTAGAAGCTTCAGTTTTCTATGCAATTGTCTATTTTGGGACGGTAGCCTGTCCCGACTGTCCCAGCTCAATGATCAAATTTTCTTCACAACGAAACTAACTGACCTAATATTTTCTCCGTCCCTGCACTACAAGTTCTATTCCTGGTATGTGCAATAAATCTCTCCCCCCCCCCCCTTCCAAATGTGGCGATTAAAATTACCGTCGGTTATGGCCGAAGATTGCAGTATTTTTCCCACACTACTGTAGATTCGGGCTTTCAACAACTACCGAATGTGCATGAAATGTATTTCCGGCCTCTTTCGCCATGCTCCTAGCATCCCACCTTTCATTGTTAATTGGAGTTTGGCTATGATATCCCTCTAGAAGGGGCTAGCGCCCTCCATCCAACTTAGATCTGTGCAGCAGGGGAAGTGCCTATCTTACCAATGTATCTTCGCTTCGCAGTTTATCAAAGGATGCTCGACCGCCATGCTGTAAAGCATTATGTCCTGCGCGAGTCTCGAAAAATTGTTGTCAGCAGGCCCCACACTCTACGTACTCCCCCTCCCATCAACAGGCGTTATCTCACTGTCCAGTTCCATTTACCGCCTGTATTTTCCAATTGGGACAATGCCCAATTTTCTCATTCTTATCCAGGTGTCATTCAGTCTCCGTGACTCTAAGTGCCGCTATTGTGATTCGATGGGTGGCAGAGGATCTAATAAGGTGCCTCAGTCCACGAGCCACACATTTCACTGCCGTAGCTAAATTAGCTCAAACCACGCGCCTAGATATCGGTGGCTTGGAATGGATCTCTAACTATCAATTAAGCTGGCATTTCTTTCCATTGAATTTGCATCGTGGACAACGCATTCTTGCCCGATTCCTTCACACAGCTATTTTAATAGATACACGAAGTTGTGGGTGGAGAGTTAATTATTTGCCCTCTGACCCCTCCTTTGGCTCACATCGACACTCGCACTATGGACCCCCGAAAACGACGACGCTCTACCTATGGGCTGGAACCACGCCCACCAAAGCGGCGTTCCCCTATGGTACCCGACGATAATCAGCAACAATTATCCGTCCCATCTTCGTCACTTGACCTTGACCCTTCCCAGACCTATCCTGCCAACCCGCGGACCCTCCAAACCAACGCCAATAATCTTCATGATTGGCACGATGGAGCGTATGTCGTGGCTCACGGGACCACAACTAGTTCTGGTGATTCTTGCCCCTTAAGCAGTGTGACGATGCTGCCTGGGCTATCTTACAGTCATCCGCACCTATATTCCTCCCCTCCATTACATCAGGTTCTTCCTGCTGACCTCCAGGCCCTCCAAAGCCGCGACATTCCTCATGATTGGCGCAGCAAGCCAGTTGGACCTGATCCCGGGGTTCCTGGACTAGCGCCCGCTTTGGGGCCTTCCGGTGACCCTTGGAAGCTCTGGATGCCTTCGCCGATACGTGCGACTGAACTATCTGTTAGTGATTCGCAATCGCATGCCTCGGCCTCATCGCTTCAAAACTATGCCACCAGCTCACAGACCCCCAGCTCAAACATTCACCATGATCGGCGTCATGGATCGCCGGGATCTTATCTCCAATATTCCCAGATTGCACCACCACGGTCACCTGCTGGCGATCTTCCGTCCTTTCAGCTGCCACGTATGGAGGTCACGCATTGGCGTTCAAATCCCAACAGTAGTAGCCAATCGAGCACACCTGTCCCTGGATCCTCTGTCCCCACTACGCCCACGCCGTCGTCTCCTGCGCATTCGGACCAATCCCTATCCTCCCCTTCGTCGCTGTCGCACTCCGAAACTCCTTGCGCAAGTCCCAACCCTTGGAGCCCCTACGACAATAATGCACGCGTCCGCGCACAGCTGGGAAGCGCAGGTATAAACGTACCTGTACCCTCAGTATCAGAACCGACTCCATCATCGTCGGCTGGCCCGTCGGATGGCAAAAAGAAGAGTATCATTAGCGCCACTCGGCTGATTCTCCAAACCGCATCCACCGCTCTCAGATTTTCTCCCATCCCATTCCTCCCCAACATTCCAGACTTGCTTCTCATGCTGCTTCAGGTTTACGAGGTTCGGTTTCTCACAGCTAGTAATGATATGTTCCTGAGTCTTGCTTCATTCACGTAGAATGTTAGTGGTAATAATGAGGCTCTCAAAGGGCTGAGTGATGATGTGCAAAATGCGTATAACACCATTCTGCGCCCTCTCCAGCTATGGACGGGACAGATTCCTCCCGAAGTGATTTTCCCACTCAAAGAATTACACTTGTATGTGGATACCGTTCCAATCGTTCATTCAGAATTGAAAAATTGTTGACAGGGCCCTAGAAGACCAGGTCAAGAGGATCACGTCGCTCGAGAGTCAGAATCGAAAGCCTTTGAGGAAAATATTCAAGGCAGGCTCTTTAATGCAAAGCATAAATGGTGTGAGGACATGTATTAGTGAAGCTCTCTCCCGGTTTGCGGTTCGCAACATCTGTATTTATGCCGTTAGACTTCAACTAATAGAGCGCTCTCTGTAGACGGTGGCAACAACTTTAAACCTTCTCAATACGATTCAGGTGTCGGTGGATTGTTCGTCTTTTTTGCTTGATTCTAGACTCTTTATCTGAGTGCCATTTCCAGACGAGCTTTCAAAACTGCCCAAAGTAAATGCCGAATATTATCGTGTGGAGAGCAAGTCAGAATGCCTCAAAACCACTCGGGACAAAATCCGCGGCTCAATTCTCGAGTACCTGAGGGATCCTAAGAATCGATTTGTCTGGCTGCGTGGTTCGCCCGGGACGGGGAAAACTGCGATATCTATGAGTGTAGCTTCCACGCTTGACAAGCAGCACACCCTTGCAGCATCCTTCTTCTGGGATAAGAACCAAGAGGGAACAGGACTCGATTCGATATCGCGCTTCCCCTCCACCCTTGCCCGACAGCTTGCGGCATTCAACGCCGAGTATCAGAACTCGCTTATCAGACAACTTCGGGATCCTGCTTCATTCAGCAGTGTTGATGGTTCTCCTCTAGAGAAAGAGGTGAAAGCTCGGATCATCAACCCTATGCGTGAACTTGGGGGTGTATTGTCTTCAGGAAAGGGTCGCCCTGTGATCGTATTGGATGGACTCGATGAGTGCGGGAATCCAGAGGCGCTTGCGTCTTTGATGAGGCTCGTTCTTCTGCTTGATGAACTGCCTTCGACATTTTCCATACTCGTCAGTTGCCGTCCGGAGCCGCAAGTGATCTCTGCTTGGGCTCGAGCTACTCGTCTTTCGATCGCTCATGAAGATATGGATCAGATTGCGGAAGACGAGAATTTCCACACTATCCGTTGTATGGTTGAGAAGGGGCTTCAGGATTGTATCATGGAGTCTCCCTGGAAGCCGACCAAGAAGGACCTCGATGGATTCTCTTCAGCTTGCCGTGGCTTACCTATCATCGCCTCAACCAGAATACGCGATGTGCATGTTCAGACTCAAAGTGGCTCCACGCTAGAAATCGAGTTTGATTACTATCTCAATCTCACGGATGCACCTCAGGGTCTAAATGAGGAGTACTTGCGAATAATGCGCCGAGCTTATTTACGTCAGCATCCCAAAATGAATTCACGTATCGCGGAGAAATACCGTGAAGTTGTTGGGATGATGATTGCTGTATGGAGGGGACTCAACGTGTGTGATATATCACAGCTCCTGGGAACGTTCACGGAGCATGAGATTCACTCGACACTCAAGCCCATCAGCTCCATAGTTAGTCTACCTTCGAAGAACAAAAACCTTATCAAATTCTACCACGCAACGGTGAAGGAATTCATCACAGGAAATCCGATCGGCAAGGAAGAGGACAAAGTATTCTTTATTAGCGACAAGAAAGGATATTCATTTGGGTTGCGACTCCTTCAACTTGTGAATGGTGCCATTCAAAGGAATGACTGGGGTCTCCGAACCATGAAACGAGAGCGAGAGAATCTACCCAATTACGTCGAGTATGCATTTATGTACTTGTTCCAACACTTGGACCCATTACTCCTCTTTTCGGAAGAGTCTAATGAATTACAGAGAGAATTTGAACAAATCTGGACACAAAACTTGGTTTCGTTCTTCGGAACATATGGTGATGTAATTATTCCTCATAATTGGTCGAAGGTGAGGCCCAAATAAATTGTATTCCGATTATTTCAATGACGTGATAACATTCTGTTTCACAGAATCACAAGTCAATTCCTGTCATTCGTGCTGCCAGCAGGCTCTTTAGACATCAGGGTCTTTGGAATACTTATCGATCCGTCCTTCCATTCACTCCGATGTCATCACCCGTTTACGAGTTTTATGGTCATCTCTCTCTTGTCCAAGTCTTCAGTGTCTCCGGCGAGTTTGCCGGTGGCTTTATCCCTTTAAGTGAGGATGCACGTAGGGCTCGAAAGGCGATGGAGGCGGAGCTGCCTAAATTGCCAAAAGTAGTTAATAAAGATGGCGAAGAGGTGATCAATTATGAAGCCGAGTTTCTCAATGACAACGTTCGCAATGGCATTGTGACCTGTGCAGCGCTCTCAAGAGACGGCCATCACATTGCACTTGGATTCGGAAGTGGCGTCATTGAAATAGCCGACATTGATAATCAGTGCGCCATCTCTCGATTTGAGAACGATCTTCCCTATCCTCCTGCTTGGATTGAGTTTATCCATGGTGGCGGCATCTGCATTGCTACTGAGGATACTCATGGGAACATTACTATTCTTGATGGAACGCTTTCAGTAAAACTTGGCCCTCTCCCCAGTAGCCGTTACCCTCCTGTTACTATGGTGTCGGACAATGGATCTTTCATCGTACGAGTCCCACAAAATGCTGAAGGCTGTTGGTACGAGAACACTGCAGTCTTACGAGTTTCGGGCAACCCATCCATTCAGCTTCTCGCACCTCCAACTTTCCCTGCTCTGTCTTCCCAGTCTGAGTCTTATCAATTTTCTCTTCCTCAACGTAACATGCTTGGCTTCTCTCCGAGAGGCCGATATGTCTGTGCTTCAGATGCACATGTCATTTTTGTCTGGTCAACCAATACAGGCGAGTCCATTGCTCACTTTCGTAGTCCAGGTTTCGGCAAAATGGTCATCAACACCGGCATTGTTCCGTCTTGCTCCTTTCTCACCCTGAACGCTACATTCCATCAACCCACCTTTCCTTCGATCCCGGAAGAGGATACCGAGCCAGTGTCCGGGCATGACCCAGATGAATCCTGGCTGGAGTGCCCCATCTACAACCTCTCACCAAGCATGAAGGGCAATGGGAGTTTTGGATGCTGTAGCATCTATTCCTCTGCAGCGGGAAAAATCCCTTTAATTAGCATTCCTTGGAACGGATTCATCTTGTTTGGCGGAAAAGGAGAACTTGAAATCCCATCCGATTACAACGTGATCGGGCGACCGCTGGAAGCCACTAGCGATTGGAAAGTCTGGTATGGTGATCGAATGATATCAGATGAATCATACCATTGGTATGATTTTTACCTTCCGAGGGCCAGTAATGCTGGGACTCGATTTCTTATCCAGGGCAAGACGAAAGCCCCGATTGTTGTTGATATCAGCAAGGTCGTTCAACGCCCCAACTGACGTCCATAACTTTCTTTTCCTCAGCCACCGTCTTCAATTTGTGGTCGAGTAGGTCAAGGAATCATGTTGCCTTACCATGGCTGTCGTGGGTCGTATGTGGCGATGTCAGGAATGCTGTATCATTATAATTTTGGCGTTTAATATCTGACAGTTCTGGCTATCCTGCGAGCAAAAGGGATAAACCGGGTATGGGCTAAGAGTTAAAATATGAAGATTCTTTTGGCTTGCTAGGCCCAACCATGTTTCAGCGCAGTGGAAGCATACTATGTGGACACTTGCTTGAAGGCTTTCGGAAATTCGACGATACGATTCCAAAATATCATGCACGCAGGCAAAGGACTTCTCTGTGAAAATGCAAAATAGATAGTTGCAGAAGCCTAGGTAGAGCCAGAGACTGCTAAGTACCTTCTTCCACTTTGGAACATGTTGATTGTGTTGCAGAAACACCAGTGGAATTCCGACATATATGTCGACGCGCGAAGGGTCTTGATGGAACTTACTAGTGATACTTCTGACGTATCCAGGATTTGGCTAATTCGGATTCGGATTTGATGCGTTCACAAGAAAACAGGGGATCTCAAAGGGGGCACTGTTGGTACTGTGCAATGAGCGGAGTTGATAATTGGGAATCTAGGCTGGCATCTGGTCTCTGCCAACATTACGGCGCGTTGTCAATCCACATCCAATTATCCAGGGATCCAGGGATGTTCCCGATGAGTTTTTCAAAGGGACATGAAGCTTAAAGGTGGCGAAGAGTGATGTTGGCGAATGCAAATCTGTGGGGGTCGGATGTCGATGCCGATGCCGATGCCGATGTTTCAATCTACTTACCTCTTACGGACTCGGTGTCTTCGATCCCTGGTCACGCACAGACATCATTCCTTATGGCAACATCGGACTAATCACTGTGCATGTGATCTTCTCTCGAATTTGGATACTCGTGCGCTCTGCAAAGTATCCATTCACCCACTGGCAGTTGATATCTCCGTAGCGAGAACTGAATTGCGCTTAATTTTGTGATAGTATGGTAAAGAAACAGGTAAAACAAATGTAAAACATGGGCTTAGAGTATTTCACGATGGGGGCCTATACTACTTGGGTTCACAAGCCGAATACCCCGGATTGGACGTGTATAGTGTCGGGAATGTGGGGTCGATTGTGTAATGCTTCTTATGCATGGCCCTTGTGTTTTTTTTTTTGTCTCCATTTCACAAGACTAATCATGGGATAGCAACTTACCATCAGCTGATCTCAGGTTCCCGCTTCCGCTCGCCACTAGCTGGGAAACCTGGCTGCACCCTGTCGGGACCGTTTTGGCATTCACATGCCTCCCAGCACTGATCGCGGTGATCTCTCGTGATTTCTCGCGCAACTTAGCCTGAATGGGTCAGGGGACGCTGCCTCAGACGTATGCTGGATGTTTCGGCGCAGATGCATGAAGCGGACCATTCAGTGGAGGTACGTACTGAACTTCCGCTATTGAGGAGAGCACTCATTTGCCTTGGCTGTGCTTATAAAGGGACCCTGATGGCCCCCCTTTCTCCTCCCCCTATTGCCTGGTATCTCGCGCTCCCTCGGTGAGTGAGATCCAACTTGCCGCCTGTTTTTTCCGGGCTTACTCCTTTGACCCACTGCCGCTGCCGCTACCGACGCTCTGTTCTCCCTGAACTTGCTACTGCCAACACTTCGCGGTGTGACTTCACTCCCGCTTGCTTCAGCTTTCAGCTCTTGCTGCCTTTTCTTGTCTCTTTCTTCTCCGAACATCTTGTGATCACTGGCATGTCGCAACATGCCTCAGCCAATGCACGAAATGCCACTGAAGACTCTCAAGACACCCAGCATACCTCAACCGATGCACGAAACGCCACTGCAGATACTCGAGACTCGCAGCATGTCTCAGCCAATGCACGAAACACCTATGCAGACACTAGAGACTCGATCTTTGGAGGGATTGATCTTGAACACCTTGGACAACCACTATGTGGGCCTTTATAGGGGGGACCTCAGGACGTTTGCATGGGGCCTAAAAGGCCTTTTTCACTATAAACATCCTAGGACATCCTGGCCATTCAGTTTCATTCATTTGTTGCAAACGTCCTCAGATGTCCTAATTCAGTTTGATTCAATGGTTGCAAATTGTCCCGGAATGCCATACTCGTCCATCCCATGGTCTGTGCACATGCTGACCACTGTCTAGAGGGATGTCAACACTGTTTCCCACAGTCTGAACACACTTTACATAGTTGAATAGCCCCTTTGAATAGCTTCCAGAATATATATTTTGAGACTGAATTGACCAATAAATTATTGAGAAAAACACAAAATACTTTTTTGGACACGAGTCTTTTGATGGTGGCTGTCCAACTTATTTAATGTCTGTGCACAATACTGGTCACTGTCTGAAGGAGTGTCAGCACTGTTTCCCACAGCCCCAACACACTTTACACAGATAGATAGCCCCTTTGAATAGCTTCCAGAATATATATTTTGAGACTGAATTGACCAATAAATTATTGAGAAAAACACAAAATACTTTTTTGGATGCGAGTCTTTGGGTTAGTGTGGCTGTCCAACTCAATGTCTGTGCACAATGCTGGCCACTGTCTGAAGGGGTGTCAACACTGTTTCCCACATCCCCAACACACTTTATGCAGATGGATAGCCCCTTTGAATAGCTTCCAGAATATATATTTTGAGACTGAATTGACCAACAAATCATCGAGAAAAATGCAAAATACTTTTTTGGATGCGAGTCTTTTGGGTTAGTGTGGCTGTCCACCTCATGTCTGTGCACAGTGCTGGTCATTGTCCGGAGGGGTGTCCAGACTGTTTCCCACGGTGTCAACACACTTTGCGTAGTTGGATAGCCCCTTCAAATAGCTTCCAGAATATATAATTTGAGACTAAATTGACAAGCAAGTTATTGAGAAAAATGCAAAATACTTTTTTGGATGCGAGTCTTTGGGATAGTGCTTGGGCCACTAAATTTCACTGACAGTCATCGAAGTCATCGAAATTCCCGGGTCACTGATATCCCAAAGACTCGTGTCCAAAAAAGTATTTTGCATTTTTCTCAATAACTTGCCTGTCAATTTAGTCTCAAATTATATATTCTGGAAGCTATTTGAAGGGGCTATCCAACTACGCAAAGTGTGTTGACACCGTGGGAAACAGTCTGGACACCCCTCCGGACAATGACCAGCACTGCACAGACATGAGGTGGACAGCCACACTAACCCAAAAGACTCGCGTCCAAAAAAGTATTTTGCGTTTTTCTCGATGATTTATTGGTCAATTCAGTCTCAAAATATATATTCTGGAAGCTATTCAAAGGGGCTATCCATCTGCATAAAGTGTGTTGGGGACGTGGGAAACAGTGTTGACACCCCTTCAGACAGTGGCCAGCATTGTGCACAGACAGTTGAGCAGCCTGAGGATTGTCATGGGAAATCAGATTCAATTGCGGCATTACGTTTTGAATGTCTACCCTGAATAATACAAATTTGATTGAATTATAGAATCATCCCAGGACATCCCAGGACATCCTAGGACGTCCTGGGGATGTCCTGGTGAATGGATCAGTCTTCACCAGGATGTCCAGGACATCCACTAGTAAATACCCCCTTTTAGGCCCATTTGAAGGGCAAACGGCCCCCCCTCTATAGGCCGTCATTAGGTGGCTGACTAGGCTGATCTCGAACAAGTTACATCCGTGCCTGACAATGCGACCAACTTGATGACCTTGTCTCAGGGTACTCCAACCGCTCCATCAGCTTGTATGATGCGTGCCAGGGACTTCATCGCCACCTTGATGGCACCACAGAACTTACCCGAGAACAGTCCAATGAGCTCTTCAGCTGGTATGTTGCCCGTTTTGATCAGACAGCTGAATCCAGAGAAGAGGCAATTGTCCGAGGCAACTGGAGCCAAGCAATGCCTGATCGAGGACCCACTGGGCTTCAGCTGGACCCAATCGATCGTTCCCAATGATCAAACCCCTGGGACAGCCAATCTCTCTGGGGAACCCCATGCAATCTTGCGAGGGCGATGGCAGCGGGATGACGATGGGGATGATTTACAAGGAGGGGCTAAGTGCCTGCAAGAAGTCAATGATGATGTAGGTGGGATAATCGCCCACATGCAGAGCCGGCTCGGACACCCGCTTCCAACATTCAGAAACCACTTCCATTCACACGACAACTCGATATGAATTTGGTATCCAGAAATAGTGCTAAATTTGTATGATTCTGACGATACCAAGAACGTCCCAATCGGTGGAGATTTGACAGAGTTCTATGTTGGGCAAGTTAGGCATGGCAGGTCACGAGTATGTGCGGGTGTGGGAATCTCAAGCGGCAACCCAGGATTCCAGCCTCACTCGTTCCCACAGCGTCTAATAAATTGGTAAAAATGCTTATTGGTTGCGTGAGAGTTATCTCCGGCTACATTTCCAATTTCGGCTCATAATTCCGTAAATCCGTTGAGATATCGCTTATTTTCTTTTATTTTTATATTTTGCCATCATTTCAGTTATTGATTGATATTCTTTTATTGATACTGTTACCCTTTTTATTATTTCGCCTAATAAGGTATGCAGGTGCCATATAGTACCAATATTTCTCATCTATTATTTCTAAAAATGATTATTTCTTATAATCCTGTACATACCGGATTTTTGAAAAGGAGTTCTCCCCTCCCCATTTTCTCTAAGGTGCTAGGGCGTGCTAGAGTGGGTGTGAGTGGGTGGATTCCAACAGTGGGAATGAGGGCAACAATCTAGCCTGCAACGAGTGGGTAGTGGATTTGTTGAGTGTCAGGGCCCGGCCCTCGTTCCGTGACGGGCCCAAGGGGATCCTCCGAGTCGCTGGGGTATCTAGTCCCAGTCCGAGGTGTTCAAACTCACTGAGGGGGCTAGCCCCAGCCTTCACAGGAAATGAGTTGAGAAGAAGGGTAACCTTCTCAACCTCCTGTGAAGCCGCTACAAATGGGAGCCAGGAACTATACAGTTTTCGGCTCTTTGCCGACTTTCCATAATTGGCACCCCCCGTGGGAAGATTCTGGGCGAGCAGCTCGCCCAGAAAGTTCCCACGGTTGTGGCTGTGATGGTTTCTGGGTGAGTAACTCGCCCAGAACGTTCCCACGGTCTGCATGCATGCGGGATTGTGGAACAGTGAAGGGAAAAATAGGAGAAAATGGGGGAAGGGTACCTGAGGGTGTGTGGGGTCAGGGGCTGTGCCCTGACATTGAGCCCAGACCTTGTGGAAATCCCGGAGAACTCACCACAGAGTTAAGGATTGAGATAAGCAGAGTATAGTCAAGAAAGTAGGAGTTTAGGGAGTTTGGCCCCACGAGCTTAGTTGGCATAGAGAGCTGCGAGCCCTCTTTCAACGACCACGATCCTCGCTTCTGTCATATCCATCCCCAGCCAACAACTTCCGGTCCCTCTGATCCCTCCGGTCTACCTCCACTCCTTCTCCACTAACCTTGGAGCCCCTGTATTCTGCAATCCCCTCAGTACCCCTTGATGGTCACCACCCCCTCCTTTCAATTTATTACCTATGCCTCCCTAAGTATGGAGCCCCGAAGACTTCTGGACAGCTCCAACGTCCGCTAGTGCACTCCCGCCTCTGCTGGGCAATACACTCACCTGCCCTGCAGAGTCCATGTCAGGATACCGAGCTGCTCGGAGCTAAGGTTAAGAGATCCAGTGGAAGTGGAGGTAAGACTAGGAAGGTCTGGGTCGGTCTCAATAGGAGAACCGCGAGGTGTGCTAGGTGACACAGGCTCCAGCTGAGCAGCGAGGGGAAATGAGTCGTATTCCAGCCACTATGTTACTATGTACAACATACCTGAGCAGCGAGGGGAAATGAGAGAAGAAAGCTGGTCTTCCTGCTCGCTACTCAGGGTGTAATATACTGTAGCCTACACACACAGCTAATCTACGAGGCACTGTACATACCAACAATCAATGATCCAGGTTTGTCTGGCTGTGTTGGATCATGGATCATGGAACATGGATCTTGGAGTGGGATCAGATCATAAGGCTGTACAGGGATCATGGATCATGGAATCTGGGTGATCATAGATCATGGAATCAGATCATGATGGTAAGTAGGCTGGAAGTGGCCGGAAGTGGGTGTACTCTGACAGTCCAGCTTCGGGCCCATCCCTCCTTTCCGTTTCTGGGTTATCTCCTGCCTTTCCGTTATCCCTGTAACCCAACTCGTCAGTAATATTCAGTCAGCTAATGTTTAGCCCCGTTAGCTCCACTCCTCCATTTGCAGACCTGTCTTTGCTGTAACCATATATATATCCAACTTGTACATAGGTTACACTCAGACTCGTACCCAGTCAGAGGAGCTCCATGGACGCACAAAATAATAGCTTTTTTATGCAATGTAAATAAACGCTCTCACACTGGTACTCGACTGCTTCTGATGCTAGTCACGTTCTGTACTCAATACAAAGGATCACATGGTATGGAGTTAAACAAATATCCGATCACCTACTCCGAAACTTAACCCGTGACACTTCACTCCTCCGACTGGGGCAAAATGTAGGTGGCGATGCATCGGAAACACCTGACTCTCACGCTAAGCCTGAATGAGTTGTACATAGAGGTTGCGCAATGTAATTGTTAGTGTTGACACATGCAGTCATTATACCCAACCCAACCCATAGAGACTTGGAAGCACCTTGAGGGTTGTGAAATCGACAACCTGGGCATGT